CTCCCGCTCCAGACATGAGCCCCCAACGCGGGGAGAAACGGGCGAGAGGTCGGCGGCGAGGCCAGCTCTTGGCGCCCCCGCGGCTTTTGCTCCTGAACTTCTTCACCTGACGCCCTGCTGCGGAGGACGAGCTCCTTCCCCGAGCAGACAGGAAACATCCCCTTCGAGGAAAGTTTGGACCTCAGCGCGCTCGGCTGTCTCCTGCGGTCTTCCTCGCGCTCCGCCTGTTACGCCTCGTTTCCCGCAGATGTTGGATTCTCACACGCTGCCCAGCGCGCTTTGAATCAGTAGGTAGGCACTGAGTTACGATCGGTGAAGAAGGGAAATGCGGTACATATTCCAAGGACGGTGGAGTTCCCCCCCGCGCCCCCCCCCATTAGATGGATTGCTTTGGGAATACGATTTTTTTTAAAGTTTGTGATTCTTCTATGCACCGATCCATGTCTGCGCTGTGGTTTTGTAGATTGAACAGTTCAGTAAAATCTGGTCGTGTGCGGTTAAAAATGAACTCTTTATATCTTGTTCCAACATGATTTCTGGATTTCTCACTTAGCATTTCATTGATTGCTCTAATACTCTCCCCACCTTTTTTTTTCCCTTCTCTTTTGGACTGAGTTTCTGAGCTGCCCAATAATTCCACTGGAAACTAATAAAGTACATAACTGAAATCCAGACCCATAGGCAATTGCAGAAAACACTAAAAAGAGTCAAGACTGGAGCAAGTCTGCACTGGGAAAATAAACTGACGGTAAAGAGTGAAAATAACTTTAAAGGGTTGTTCACATCCTAGCTGTCATAAATGCAGAGGGTAGTAAGTTATTGCCACTGCTGAGAAGTATGTTAAAGGGCCTAGCTCAGCTTTCTGTTCTGAAAGGGAATTGCACTGTGCATGCCGGTCCTTTCATGGTATCTGTGGGGAAAGCATATGTGTAGCAATTTTGCACTGACGCAGAACCTTTGGTTAAATATACTGGTAAGATCCAGCCTGCTAGAAGCATGAATTGTTTGTGGACGGTCGGACTTCTCATGGGATGCAGAAACCACTTATCCGCAGGTGTATTTCTATTCTAAAGCAATGACGTTGTTTAAGAGCATTTTGGATTGCTTATGGTTCCAAGGCACCTTTTAGGATGCTGTTTGCCATGCTATGGCAACACAATTTGTAGTAGCCCAGGCTGTATATTGAGGTATATAGTTGCTGAGATCCTGAATCCATTTAGTTAGCTTTTGCACCACTGAATCAAGTATAGAGAATCAGCCGTTTCAGATGTCTGGCTCCAGAGGTCTTCTTTGTAGTTCCTAGTTTCTTATTTGCATAAAAGTCCCAACGATAGCTACATGGTGGAGTCTGTCGCTCCAACCACTGGGACCACAGACTTTGCTGGAAGAAGATGATGGGCATTGTATTGAAAATACATCTTCAAGGGAAGGCGGCACCCTGGAAAGTCTGAGAATTAGCGCTGCAGGTCCTGAGCCCTCCCAGACCTAATAGGCATGACCTTCTGATTTTTTTCCCATGGCTTTCAATTTCAGAAAATTGTGTAAGAGCTGAAGTTTATTTTGGAACTGGAATAGGACATGAAGAATAAAAGGAGTTGGGAGATCACCAAATCAGGATGAAACAGAGGTTGAACATTTTTCCAAACCTACTGCTAGTTGTGCTCTGTGACTATGGTGAGTATATGGTAAAATTAGCTCTTGTCATTTTGAAATGTCATATCCAGATGGATGGGTTGGCAAATCCCATCAGTCCTTGGGATGATATAATATAGCAGAAAGCACCAAGTTGGAAGAGGTTCAGTAGGTGACTTGAAGACACTTCAGTTATTCTCCTTGCCTATAAACTCTATACACCTGGAGGAAAACTGGGACAAGCAGACTAGCCTGTTGTCCTCTCTGTTTTCTTTGCTCTCCATATATGAAGGGTGATTTTCTGTGAAAAGGACCCTCCCCCAGTGGTGGTTTTGGGTGGGGGGAAGCAGACAATGTCATGGACCCAAAATCACATTTCTTAATGAATTTTAGATTTAACAACATCATTGGCTTGAATTACACCAAGCAGAAGATAAAGTCTCTTACCATGGTATACACAAAATAGTGTGTAAGTGGGTTTTTTTTTTCTTGGGTAAATGTCAAGAGAACTAGTTAAAGTTTTAGCTGTCAGCTTCTATTTTAGCTAGTTAATGTTTTTAAATTTTTAACTTTCTAGTAAACAATAAGATGTTCTTTCTTAACAAATTGAAATCCAGTTGGGGAGAGGCACTCAAAAGTAGTGGAGATAGGTTTGGCCAATTTAGTGGCTCTCTTTTACATTGTATGATATAGCAGCTTTAACATTATTGTTCGTAAGAATGGTAGGAGAGAGAAGATTTAGGAGGGAGGAGTGGAGATGGTGGGGGTTTCTCATTTGTGGTTAAGAGCGGAGGATGAGAGAACTATATGGACTAAGCACATTATAAGTGCAAATTGATTACTGCAGCTGAATTGTTGTATAACTCAGCAATTGTGCATATGTACACACTTTGGATAGAATTACTATTTTGAAAAACAAAATTGGGCTTTTTGAATCTTTCATCTATTCTACATATGAGCATTGGTATTGAATTACATTAAATTGGGATTACATTAAATTGGGATTGGAAATTAAAGCAGATAATAGTTTGAGAGTCATGTCTTGTGTAGATTGGGGTAAGTAGCAGCAATCTTTGGAGCCACAACTCTAGCACCCCTTCCCATTGAGTATGGTTTTCAGGGATGTTGGGAATTGTATTCAGTAACACACTTCATGCATTAAGTGGGCTTCTATACTTGGTTATATTAAATTTCCAGAAAAGCATCTAAATTCTACTTCTTCTTCATGCTCTCTGCTGATTAATTACACTGTCAAATTCCTTCTTTCCAGTTCTCGGAGCAATCAAACTTCTCTTGGAGCAACAGACTCATATAGCTTTAAGCAATACTACAGTATCTGTTGGCTTTCAGAATTATTATGATGGTAATGACACACTGAAAAACACTTCTGTTTTACTCATGGAGGCCAGCACCAACCAAATTGTTGTCAAAAAGCAACTTCCAGAAGATCAGCATCAAGGTGCAGTTGTTTTTGAGTGTTCTTATTTTAAGAGTGCTGGAAGTTACTGGTTCAAACTGGATTCTGAAAATATCAGAGGGCTTAATCCTCAATGGAATGGAGAAAGTCTTCTACTCAGTGTGAAGTGGCCTATATTTAACTTTGATTTGAGGAGGACTTCAGAAGGACATGGGAATTCCCTTCAACTTGGGCTGTTTACTAATGAATACTTATGTCCGCTAAATAAAACAATGATTTCTTTGGAAGTAGTACTAACCAGCAGCTTATACGAACTAGGGACATTGATCTCGAATGAGACACTGGGCCTGAGAACAAGGAAAAGCCTTTCTCTCTTGGGGTCACAGTGGGCGAAGTTGGACTGCCATGTGGTCGGCCCAGAGGCATACGTTGCTGCATTCCTGAAATCAGCAGAGACAGATTCAATCATTGCTTCATCAGGACCTATAGATCTTGTGCACAAATTTGGATACAAACTAGTTATGGCAGAAGAAGTGTTATGTGAGTCTTCGGTTGTGGCTTCTGTCATTTCTCCTCCATGCACATCTTCTGCTGGGCGCATTGCCGTGTTTAAGCATCACCCTTTGGGACAAATGGTGTCAAAACTATATGAAAGCATCTTGAATCCAGAGGACCACCAGATAGAATTCAGTTGCACGTTGTTCGACAGTGGCACAAATAAATACTGTTTTGAATTTAGCCCTTCCAGCCAAGTGAATTCCCCACCATGGACAAAAGAATGTGTGCTAATCCAAAGGAATGTTGGTTTGTATTACTTTTCCAAAATGTCTCATTTCAAACTGAAGGATTTCTTCTTGGATGCATATTCCTTCTGGAAACTAGAGTATAATACATAGGCGTAATCTATCACCTTCTGCAGATAAGTCTGCACCAGTGCTGAGCTGCACACACAGGATAGGATTCCTGCTAAATATGGTAAAATTTTTGCATTGGCAGTTTGTTAGATGGACGAGAGGAGAAGGGGAAAGGACTGTATTCTATGTTCCTATATCTATTAAAGGAATGAATAGCTTATGCATGTTTAAAACAGATAGATAAATAAATATCCTACATAAAACCTCTCCTATGTATGCAGTTCTGCACTGTAGACGAGGCTGGACTATGCCATTGAAATCTTGCCTTTCTTATTTAAAAAGAAAGAAATTGCCTTGTAGAATGTTTTCTATGGCTTCTAAAGAAGGGGTGCCAGATGTGAGCTGCAGAAATCCACAAGGTCACAAGATGGCTGCAAAGAGCAAGTTTTATCTGTCTCCCTTTCCTGCCATCTGCCATCCAGATTTTTCCAACCCAGTCCGGATACCCATCTAATCTGTGTCCCCTGCTTCACTCCAACTCATGCATCTTCTCCTGTTTTATCTCCATTTTTAAAAAAATTATTCCCCATTTTAGAAGACATATATGATGATGAGGCAAGTCAAGTAAATTTAAATAATACAGAAATGCAGAATTTGAATGTGCGAGCGTTGGCTTCAGATCTAGATTAGTCACAGAATTTTCTAGGTTGCCTTGGGCAAGCCACGGTAAGCCACTTTGATTTTTCTATAAGGCTTCATGGCGAAAACATTAGCTAGGAAAAAAAGGAGTTATCAGCACACTTACAAGAACATGCCAAGTTGCTCTGGTGAGATTCAGACTGTTTGCTGCACTGACTGGGAAAGTACCTCTCTCTTTTGCAATTAATGGTAGCAAATGTCCAAAGACATTCGATGATCCTGATTGCTGTGTGACTGTGTGCAAAGCATGTCTTTTTTCTCAGCAGAGCCTCACATGGTCTTGGGGAGAAATGAACTAAGAGCCATTTTGAATCTCTTCACATATTAAACAGATGATCCTTAATAAGAAGATTGCTGTAGAGATGATAGATCACACATGGTGTCTTGCAGATGTGTTGGGTTTACAGCTGTCAAGATCCACAGTCTAACATATCTGCAAGGTCCCAGGTTATGGCAGGATGATATATGTGTATGATGGCACTCTATGCTAGGGCTCTACAACCAAACTCTTACATAGGACCGTATGTTTTCGTTTCCATTGCCCACCAGTACAATTGGGGTGTTTGGGGTAATTTGGACTGACTCCTCAAGCTATACTTGAATGGGTTCCAGCTGGAAGGGTGTGGCTGCTGCTTGGCATTATTAGAAATTCCTTTTCAGGAGGGGAGGGCATCAGGCGCTTCACCACTGCTGGTGCGTGATGCTTGGTCAAGAAATAATTCTGGCAGTTGATTATGTAGCTGCTTTGTTACCCAGCCTTCAGCTTTCTCTGTGAGAGAAGGGCTTCAAGCAGAGGTCACTGGAAATCATACCGGTATCCTTTCTGGAGTAAAATGTCTGATTCATTAAAAGTTCTAAGACGGCGGTCTCTAGTTGCCAGCTTTCTCTTACTAGTTCTGCTCCTTTTCCTCTCAGCAGCCCAGCATACAAAAGTTAAACGCACTTCTATGCCAGGAAATGAATCACCTACTTAATTTCTCTGCATGGAACTGTTACTAAAGGCATAGAACCAGGACTGCCAGCATAAACCCTCTGGTAATTCCAGTAGAGCTGCATTTTCTCCCTGGCTCCATCACCCACCCGTGTTCTGCTCTTACCTGTTGTACAGACAAATGAGAATTAAGTGTACAAGTGGGGAAAAACTATGCCATGAACAAGATACGTCTCACAAACCATCATGATCAATATATTGGCATAGCTGCCCCTCTTTTGAGGTGGCCGGGTTGTAAACCCTTCCCAACCAACTATTTCGAATCACTTGCGAGAGTGATTTCTCCCATCCTAGCAGCCCGTTGGCCAGGAAGGAGAGAAGGAGAAAGGAAATAGCCCAATCTGCCACGGGCACACAGTTCTGACCCAACAGGGAGGAAAGGCCCCTGACAGCATTCTTGACTCTTGATATAGGGGGTATTTGCTGACCAGGTTCTTCCAACATGGTAACCAATGTGGTTTCTAATCTGAAGAAATTATGCAACTGCCAAACTGGGGTTTCTGAAAGTTGACTCAAGTGTTCCACTTGTTCCAAGCAGTCCTAGAAGATGGGGCTCATTGCTACTCTTCATTTCTTGGATTGTTGGTATGGGATCTTTTAGAGGAAGGCTGGGAAACTTGTAGCCCAGTAGTATCCGGCTTACAATTTCTGACCAAAGTAGTTGGGAGTAATAGGGGTTGGAATCTAACAGGCTGCAAATTTCCCCCCCCCCTTCTTTGAAGTGTCTTTCCTGCTCTGTATGTTTTGGAGGTTAGTAGATGAAATTACGAGCCCAGCCTCATTTGCTCCCATCTTGGATTCTTATACATCTTGGTACAATCCAAATTATTTACATGAATTTGAACCTGAATCCAGGTAGGTCTGTTCTTTTCACCAGGCATTCAGTTATTTTTTCTGTTTATAGTGGGGTTATCTGGAGGCCAGAACTAGCATATTACAGGTATCTGCTTAATGAGAAATTGTTGTAATTGAGAAGTACTATGTTTGAACAGACTTTGAGCAGCACAATTTCCCATATGATATTCGGTCAACATTAAGTGCTCACAATGTGGAATTTAGAAATTTATATAACGTCAAACTACTTATTGGACCAGCTGCCCAGGATTGCTTACTTTGATAAGCAACCATTCTCTAGAGTCTCTCTTATCACTTCTTACATGGAGTGTCTCTTACACTTCTTAACTGGAGATGCTAAGGGACTGAATCTGGCACCGTCTGCATAGCAAAGGTGGTTTGCTCCATCACTGCACATGGTTCCTCCATCATTGTCCCTCAGTGACAGTCACTTAATGCTTCAGCACACATGACATATCACCTATTAGGAACGAGGTGTCAGTCTGGAAAAATAAATTGTAGTGTTTATCACCCCAAAGTGGAGACTTTTTCCCCAGGTTAGTCTTTCCACACATTGGTTTCACCTGTGACGACTGTTGAAAGCCATCCAGAGACAAGCGGGCACTGAAGATGGCAGAAGACTTGCTTGTAGAATTAGGCCACCTGATGCTGTAGCTAAGAGTGTTTTTGGCTTCCTGTTTTCAGATTTAAAATGTAACTCCTAACACCCAGTTGGTAACACTTTTTATCTCCCAAGCATGTGTGCATGTTCGGTGAGGGCAGAAGTGCTGCCTAAAGAACAAAAATCAATATACAAAGTGTACAGATAAGATGGAAGCAAATATGGTTTGCAAGGATAGAAAGGTATGGAGCGGCATGGCAAATAGGACAGAAACTTGATTTAGCTCTAATTTTTTATCTTTTGCCTTCTATTTGTGTGACTTATTATTATTCATTTTCTTGTTGCTTTTTGCATAATGTTGCTTACCCTAAAAGGAGTGTGATGGGTATATACAAAGGCAGATGCAGATCGATGCTGCTTCCTGCTAAGCAACCTTGGGTTATTTCCTGGCTGGTGGAAAAGCCAGCTTGCTACAAAAATGCATTTTCCAGAAGGGCCATCCACTTCAGCCACATTTCCTTGCTGTACATTCATATATCCTCAGGTCTCCTGCTGCCATTTGGAGTCTGGTGAATTTCTAAGGTCTTTTGTCTGCTCCACTGACCACTGAAGCCACTAATAGTCTATCTTGTTTGGGGGGATAGTTTGCTTCCCACAAGGAATTTCAATCCAAATACTCACTAGAAGGTAGTAAATTAATCTGTCTTGCTTTTTCAGCAGGATGGCTGGTATCTTTAAGAAAATGTCTCCCTACAGTAATGTAATTTTATGTACTTGTAGGAGGATCCTGGAGCATTTGGCAGGCCTGGAGTTCGTGTAGTGCCACTTGTGGAGGTGGCATTCGTGAGCGTTATCGGGAATGCCTCACACCTTTCCCAATCCAGACGATGCAAGGCTGCCTGGGGAGGCAACAGGAAACCTCTCCGTGTTCTTTGGAGGAATGCCCCAGTATGTATGCTTGATGTTCCAAAAACACTGTACAACTTTGCATTGTTTTTGTATGTGTTTAAGAGATCTGTCTGTCCCGGTATATATTGTCTGGGGACAACAGTCAGCATGGAAGTCTAGGGCAGAAAAGAAGGAAAGAAGGAAACCCAAGTATACAGTATAGAGCTGTGTCTGATAATATTTGGTACACATGAATGTACTAAAGTGCGTGGAGGTTTCATTCTGGAATAACACGAACTGGCATTTCCCAAGGTACTTCCCTGTAAAGCCACCTAAAGCCCAGTGAGTATGTGATATAACATAAATACATGCATTGAAAATTTTACAAGTGGCACATCTGGAGAACATCAGGTTGGGAAAGGCTGTCATACATTACTTACATATTGAAAATCATAGTCATACAGCAGCCAGACTTATTGACCAATTGCTGTCATTTAATTATTCTTGAGTGACAGCTGTGCAAATATTGAGATCATCATGGTCTTTAACAGTTTTTAACCTTGCCTCCAGGTAACAGAGTTCCTAAGAAACCCAGGATAAACCTGATTTGGAATTGCTGTCCACCGCCCAAAACGAGCCAGGCCCCCTCAGCCACAAATAGTTTTGTAGCTTCCCCTTGAGATTTAGTAGATGGCATTTTCATTTCTTGCATTCATTCATCATGTTTCACCACTTGGCCTTAAATAACTGTAGTTCTCATTGGTCTTTTAGTGAATCTGTGGAGAATTTATCCTGGTGATGCCAGTCCATAAGAGACTGTTTTTCAGCAGATATCAAAAAGGCAGCATGAAGGCATGCCAAGCTAAAAGACTGAGGTTGATCCAATCTCTGCCTCAAAAAGATTGTCCTACTTTAGAGAGGACATTTCTCTGTTGGATGGTGTCATCTACTGAAAGGGCTCTCTAGCTCATGCCTGCTTAGAGTTTGTACAACTTTAAGAAGGGACAGCAGTGGCCTTGATCCACAAGTAACACTTGGGCTGGAGAACAAATTTTTAGCAAGCACACTGGCTGCCCAGTCACACCTCCCACTATCGAGAGAAGTATTGTATTTCTGTTCTAATATTTCTAAATGTGCATTTATATATGGAAGTCACCAGCTGCATACATTGTGCAGAACTGTGTCTTTCTTTGACCTCTTTTGTTTGCAGTCTGTAATCAGGGTGGTCTTTGTAGTGAAAAATGGGAGGAAAGACTGCTATGTATACTGCCTTGAACTCCTGAATGAAAGGCAGGATATAAATCTAAAAAAATAATCTGTAACACATGTCATGAATAGTTTATACATTTCATCTGGCAGGATAGCACTTTACTGGTCAACAGAGCATTCTGTGGGCCCAAATACCTGACCTAGTTGAGATGGCAATACATGTTTTAGCATATTTCTTTTAAACAATCTTCATTTATATATCCCAAACATGTTTCACAAAATCACAAACATGAAGAGCACCTCCAAAACGTCCCAGTAAAGTAGATTTTTACAATAAGCGCCTTGTTCCCTGAATAGCCAGAATAGCCATCAAGTTGTTCAAATGGGGCTGTTACTTCTGCACAAATATCACACATTTGTACAGGTGTTTTAGTTGTGCAATAAATTTTAGTTATGAAAGAGGAAAAAAAGGCTCCAATGTTGTTTTGGACCAGCTCCAATACCAAGTCTGAGTAATAAGCAGTGACTACAAGGCTACACATATCCAAGCATCAGAAATCAGTCTGTTAAAATACAGCATTTCAACTAGTGAAGTTCTGGCATGCAGTGATAGCAGGAAGCCAGTGTTGAAATAGTGAAAAAGGGCTTTAAGGCCACAGAGCGAGAAGTAGTAAGCTTTTTAATTCGTTGGTTTGATTGGCACTTATAAATCACACATTATCTGGTGTATTTACTCTTTGTTTCAGTCACTACAGCTGCCCTCCTCACAACACTTCCTCCTGAAATGGGAGGAGAGAGAGCTGCCAATAACTTAATAACTGTCACTGGGATATCATTGTGCTTATCTATAATCTTTGCAACGATCTTGATAACCTTATGGAGAAAGCTTTGCAGAACCCCAAAGTGTAGCAGTCCAATTAACTGTGACTCGACTCATTCATCTGGCTTCCGAAAGAACTCTGATGAAGAGGATATCTGTCCAGACAGACATCAACAAGAGAGCTTTTCAGAGGGAGAAGCCTCTTGTTTTTCCCCAGGAGAACCTTCTGACATACCCTTGAATTTCAGGAGAAGCCTTCATTTTGTCCCAGAAGATGGAGGAGGATTAGTTCATGAGAGTTTGCAGTCCAGTGCTCAAAAAATCATTCCTCCCATTTACAGCTATCGTCTTGCCCAGCAGCAATTGAAAGAAATGAAGAAAAAGGGACTTACAGAAACCACCAAAGTTTATCATGTTGCTCAGAACTCTCTCACGGACACAATGAAAACAGAAAATCAAGAGGCAGCAGCTGCAAGTAAGTTTAGAATCAAATCTCCATTTCCAGAACAGCCGTCTGATTATCTAAAATTATCAGGGGACAGGCCCTGTTCTAGAATGGATTGTACATCATTGCAGGCCAATTCTGTGTTGAGCTCCAGTCACTCCTTAATGAGAAGAAGCCATCTCAGATATTTTGATAACAAAGGAGAGTCAACAGAAAGAGGATACCAAAGAAATTCACAGTTCAGAAGGACAGCAAGTTTTCATGAAACTAGAAAAGCAAAACCATTTCGGAAGAGAAGCATGTCCACCCTTACACCAAGTCAGACTTCATTCAACCACTGCAGAGCCAAAATGTGGAATCCTGTTATGGAAAAACAGCATTGCCTTAAATCTAAAAATACAGCACAGAACACTGTGGAACTTGAGTTGTATCACAGCATTCCTTTAACCACAGAGCCATTGAGCTGGTGGGGACAGATTCCTCCCAAACAGAAACTTCCAGAGAAGAAACCAGATCTGGTCAACAATCGACCACCAGGATCTCTTATATCTTGTGCTGATAAATCAGAACATAAGAGAACCAGAAGTGGACATTTTTCAAGTCCTACAGGTGCTTGGAGGAAGGAGTCTACTTTCCTAACTCTCAAGGATGGTCACCAGAAAGGGGAGACTCTGAGTCCTTCACAATATAGAAAGAGCAAATGCCAAAGTTTTCCGTCTGATACTGGATGCCACTTCTATGACAATACTTCCTTTGGTCTGATTGACTCAGAACAACAAATGTTTGACCTGCCTGGATATTTTGAGTCAAATGAAGGTGAAATAAGTACTTTAACTGTTGAAAATTTGGTAATCTGAGTTTCTTGTGGGCAAATGGGAAGCTGCAGCATTAGCAACTGCAAAAGTTCTCGAATTTTCAAAATGTACTTTAACAGAAATCTCCTTACGAAGGAAAGGAGGCCTAATTATCATTCCGTTGAAGCAGGCCAAGTACTTGGGAAAAGTAAATGATACCCTGACACAAAAATAATGACTAAATATGTACTTGTGCAGAGTTTCTCTCTAAACTGTCTCAGAAATAGACCTCTTAAGGCCAAATCCTATATGCTGATTTATACAGTTTACAGTATTGGACTTTCTCATTGGAGCATTTAATACATTTTAAATTGGTGACCCTCAGCATTCCTTGTAAACGGCTGCTAAGTGACTGAAAATGTCTGACATCCCGATGCCATGGCATTCAGTGGCCTATAAAATCAGGCTCGGAGGTCTGCATTTGGTATTAGTTAAGAGGTTAATGTGGTTACAGGCACTGTTGGAGTACAGCCGGTCTATTCTTTTCTATTGGACAAGCCCTGGATGCTTCTTTAACCACTGTTTGCATCACAGCAACTCCAGCTACTAACTTGCCAAGTCTGTTAGATATCCTCTCATACTTCCCTTGTTCAACTGCAAAGCAATATTCTTCAAAGCTTCAGAAGAATCATCCTTAAAAGAGATTACTTCCCCTACAAGGAAACATATCTTTTGCAACCTTCAGTAAGTTTCAGTTGAAGAAACTTTAAAATTAAGCAGTTTGGGTTTGGTCTCTCCCACTGGCAAACAGTTATAGAAAGTGTTTCTTTCAGAAAATCTAAATGAAAATACATAATGTGAAAGAAAAAATGTTATTAGTACTTTATAACAGACAAGTTCTAGACATATATAGACAATGAACTAATGTTTATTTTTATGCTATTTGAAAAGACATTTTTATAATTGGGATTACATCTTTCTGCAATTGCTGCTGCTTTAATTGCATTAAATATGGATGATGTAAATGTACTTGATAATTTCTTACACATTAGGAATTAATATAATAGTTCACATTTTAGCAGAAGGCTGAGAGAACATCTGTCCCAAAGCTACACTCAACCCATCATGGAGTCATGAGATTTTAAACACTGTAAGTTGAAAAGTTACAGCTTTAAACACATGCTGTTTATTCAGAATAATTAAAAAACCTCTTGTGAAAATGCCCATCTAGCTTTTTATTTCATTAGGCAGCTGTCAAGGTTTTTCATTTTTCTCTCCTTTTCTTCAGTTTAAGAAAACCATCAATTATGAAAATACAAATTAAAAAAAAGGGAATGACATGTAAATCTGCCTTCCCCATCTAACATCCTTCAGCTGTGTTGCAGCAGCCAGCAACCCATTCCCTTTCCTAGAAGGTCTCTGGTGGGATTCATACCACCCTCTAAACCAGTGTTGTCCAAACTTGGCCACTTTAAGATGAGTGGACTTCAACTCCCAGAATT